CCTTTCTAGCTTTGCTCTGTGGCTGTGTCTGTCCTGCAGAGGTGGCAGGATACCCTCAGGGGCAGACCTCTTCTTGGTTCAAGTGAGGATCAGAGACGATGGTGTACAGGGAGTGTGGCCTTCCATTCCATGCCAAGTTGCTCCAACATACTTTTCAAGCCTGTGAGTGCTTTTATCCTGGCTCCTCCGTAAGAGACACACTTTTGGATGTGTTTTGAAAAATATTCCATATGCTAATGGAATGTCACCATCTGCCAAAGAAGGCAGAGCTGTTTTTAAAGGAAAAACTATTACAGAAATGAAGTATTCACAGAGGGGCACTAAAGAGCCAACTGTCGCTGACCTGAGGCTGACCTGGGCCACCTGTGTTAGCAACATGAAAAGGGGCAAGGAAGTCTGGGACCAATCCCCCCACCCTTCCACCGTCTCTCCCCCCCACACACACCTTCCCATCCCCACCCCCTTCTCGGAGACATGATGAAATTTCCTGAAACAAAACCTCACAGCCCATTCTACAAACTGCTTTTGCCTTTGGTGGAAAAGTCCCCATGGCCCCTTTTATCTCCTGTTCCTGAGGTGCAGACCTGGCCCCAGGCTGTTTGTGCATATGGGCCTCAGGAACATTCCCAAGGAGGGAGCCAGCGAGCAGGAGCCAGGGAGAGGCTGGAGGCTGTCACAGGATCCCGGAGTCCTGGAAGGAGTGGGAGGTGACATTAGATGTTCAGCGTGTGAGCAGCAGAGAGCCACTACTCCCAGGGAGACGCCTGCATTCTGGTTCTGTCTGTACCACAACTTACCTTCCTTTCTCCTAGACCCACGTGTTCCTCCAGACTCAGGAGCAACCATAAGCCCCTTTCCTAGGTAGCTCTCAGGCCAGCGACTCTCTGAACACCTCCATTGTTCAAACTCAAAAGCATTACCTGTCCACACACACTTCTCCCCCCAAATCTTCCTTTCTCAGGGACTGGATGCCCACTCCAGGGGTTTCCTACCTCAGGGCATTTGTTTCTCCATAGCCTCATTAGAAACATCTTTTCTTGACTTAGCATGTATCTGACTCCTTACCATTGAGGTCTCGGTTAGGTATCCCAAACCTCCAACCCCTGCCGGCAGATTCACAGCCCTTACTCATCTTAATTTAGCTTGGTATTCCATGTGTTTTTGGCCCACTGGAGCAGGTACAGGGGACTATTTCTTCTGGAATGCAAGCTTCATGAGAGCAGGGACTGTGTCCCCTTTCTGTCACAGTGCCACTTAATGGTACACAGAGGACATGCACCCAATATGTCATCCACTCTTACCTCCCTCCACAGACAAGCCCTCACCCCCATCAGCATCCTTCTCCTGAATTGCAACAGGAGACAGCCAGCTCACTAGCCCAGGACAGAGCCTGATGCCTGAGCACCCTGTCCCTTGCACTCAATCACACCTTGAGTGTTGGTCCAGGTACATCACACACACACTATTGATCATGCCAGAAGCCAGGTGTGGTGGCACACACCTTTAATTTCAGCACTCAGCAAGCAGAGGCAGGTGGATCTCTAGTTCAAGGCCAGACTGGTCTACATTGTTCCAGGACAGTCAGGACTACACAGTGAGACCCTGTCTCAAAACAAAAAAAGCAAACAAAAACAAAATGCATGCCAAGGGTGTGTGTGGAAGGGAAGGAGGTGAGCAGAGGGTCTGCCAGCACAAAGGGAATCACACAACCTGAGGCCTGGTTCTTCCACAAGGAGTAGGGCTCTGCTGGCATCATGGCACCCATAGAGCATGGAGAGAAGAGCCACCTACAAAGATGTCCACTGTGGCTACCAATATGACCAGAAGCAAATGTAGGCACTCTCCCATCTTTTCCACAGAGGACATAATGTACAGCCTAGGCCCTGCTTGCGAAGTCGAGGCTCCATTGTGGGGGGACAGTCCTTACCTGGGACTCTCAGTTCATGTTGTTCCAGGCTGGCCTGAGTGTCCCCTCTCATGCCATCCCTGACACCACTATGCCTTATTTAAGTGTCACCAATGGAGCTACCAGGCATCATTTTTAGGTTATACAACTTAATCCCTACGGCACTTTTAAAATACTGTCTTTGCATCCTAGTTGTGAAAGATCAGGTTCCATGCAATGAATGTCCTTGCTCACACTGACCTGCCTGCACAAAGATGACAGAGCTCCAGTCCTGGGGGAGGGCTCTGGGCCCAAAGTTGCCCTTTCTCCTGCCAGCTGCCAGTCCTTGCAGAATGCAGCCTGCAAAAGAAGTCAACTGGTACCAAGTGTATGGGTGGGGTGGGGGTGGGGGCTCCGTAGGACACTAGGCTGAGCTGTTCCTAAGACTCTCCTGTGTTCTCCCACGCCAGCCCAGGAAGAAGTTTCAGACACAGTGACAAAAGCAAACCACTCCTGGAGAGGATTGGAGTAGAGAGAGTAGGAAGTCAGGGAGCAGTGTGATTCCATGATTCCATTCACTCAACTCTTGCAGCTGAGAATCCACCAGGGGAAAGTTTCGCATGTCTGCCCTGTCACTTTCACACAGCTATGCCTGAGCAGCCATGCTTACATCTGTGAACTAGATCATCAGAGGCCAATCCAGGAACAGGGGTGAGGGGTGTTAATGCCTATAATCCCAGTACTTGGGAGCAGAGGCAGGAGGACTGCTGTGAGTTCAAGGATAGGTTAGGCTACAGAGGCCGTTCCAAAAACAAAAATTCTCAAGGGCCCACTACCCTATCTTCAGGCAGATGCTGGCACCATGATAGCTGGGCACCCACTGGGTACTAGACAACTTAGTGCATGATGCCTGCAGGAGTCTGGATTCTCTGGAGCTCTGCAGAGAAAAGCTAGTTTCCTGATAGAGAGCAAGCCAACCCTACACCTACACCCTGCCCTGCTATAAAGTGAACCCAAGTGCCCGCTGAAGCAGGCAGCTGATCAGAACACACCCAGCAATGGGAAACTATGGAATCCAGTTCTTGGCTCCTTCCTCTTGTCTTTTGTTAAACACCTCTTCACAAACTACTGTACACTACACAAGATGCTACAAGGCCTATCCTCTATCTTGTCCCTTTCCTCTATAAGCCCCAAAGTCCTTCACTGATACAGTGAATCAGCACCTCACTAAAAATGCTTATCATCCCACTAGTTCAGAGACACAAGCTGGTGGAGAGGTTGCCTTAAAAATAAAAGTTGCCAAAGGCTGGAGAGATGGCTTAGCAGAGGGCCTATGTTCAGTTCTTAGCACCCACATGGTGGCTCACAACTATCTGCAACTCCAGTTCAAGAAAGGGGATCCAAAGCCCTCTTATGGCCTCTGTAGGCACTGCACAACTTGTTGCACAGACATACACATAGGCAGGCAGTGCTGGCTAGTTTTATGAACTTTGACACAAGCTGGAGTCATCTGAGAAGAGGGAACCTCAATTGGGAAAATGCTCCACTCCATATGATCTGACTATAGGCAAGCCTGTGGAACATCTGGATTAAAGATTGATGTGGGAGGGCCTAGCCCACTGTGGGCAGGGCCACCACAGGCTGTTGTTCCTGGTGGAAGAAAACAAGCTGAACAAGCCAGAAGGAGCAAGCCAGTAAGCAGCAGTCCCCTATGGCCGCTGCTTCAGTTCCTGCCTCCGGGCTCCTGCCCTGACTTCCTTCAGTGATGGAATATGACCTGAGAGTAGAGCCCTTTCCTCAAGTTACTTTCAATCATGGCTTTTTATCACAATGATAGAAACCTCAAGACAAACAAAACACTCATACACAATAGGAATACATCTAGAACGAATGCTTCTAGCAGTTGGGTGAGCACATACTCTAGATTTCTAGGGCACCTTGAGATCAGCGCTGGCATCACTAGGTCTACATTACTTGCAGTCACCTGAGCTTGCCATGTGCTGTCCCAAACAGCAAGTCAGACAGGGTGCAAAGACCCCAACCAGGAACACCTGGTAGCTAACCTGGAGGAGCATCAAAGGGCCCATCTTTATTATTTAGACGACAAGCAGGCTAGAATGACAGGGCAACTCATCTCTGATAGCAGTCAAGGAGTATAACAGAACCCCAGCATGAATGATATATCTGAGGCATTCAGGAACAAAGGAGGGAAGGAGGGAGGGAGGGA